AACGGGCCTAGTTTTCGGCCTGCAAAGCCTGCAGAAGCCTTCCTCAAGCCTCTGGGAGGCCGAGAAAGGCCTCAAACTGGCTGAAAATCAGCTGTGAGGCACAGTGCAGGTAAGGGGGTGGCTGGGTGGGTGGGGATTGTGCACGCATGTGTAGGCTGGTGTGGAGGGGGCGCTCATTGCCTTCTGGGTGCTGGCACGTAAGTGCGAACATGGAAGCGCGTGCACAATTTTTGGCACAGGAGCTCAAAAAGGTTAGCCACCACTGGACTAGGAGGACAAAAAGCCGTGAGAGGCGAGCGTGTGTACATTGCTGGGAAGAGATCAATCCCCCAAATGAAGGCAGCTCCTCACCACAAAAGTTCGCCCAGAAATCCGTGTCTTGGTCATATTAAAATGAGGTAAAAGAGTGGATTGTCTCCCCCACACCACAGCCACCTGGCCACCAAGCAGATTTGTGTGGGCTGCCTTTCCCCATCATACCTTGCAGACGGTGGAAGGAGGCAAAGAGCAATGCTCCGAGGAAAGTTTCAGTGTGAAGACACAACAACGCAATTCAGCCTTCTGAATTGAAAGAGGAGCTGTCATGCCCCTGTCAGAGTCTGAATCCGAAGAGGAAAAGAACAGCTGATAGGGAATGGGAGTGTGGCTCCTTGGCTGTGGAGGGAACTGGGGAAGGACAAAGTCTGGCTGGGCAGAACAGGGGAGAGGTAGAGCAAGGGAGGGGGAGTTCAGAGGAAGACCCAGGCTCACCCCTCTTAATCCTAGGGCACGCAGGGAGGAACAGAGAAGAGAGCAACATGGGTTGCATGGCTTATGGGGGAGGAAAGGGCCCTGATTCCCTTAATTAGCCACACCTGGGAATGAGAGTTTAAAAGAGATGCAAGCTGAGTGCAGTGTCTGCTGGGAACAAACATGAGTTTATCTTGTGTTGACTATAGTTATCTGCGTTCCTGGCATCCTCCCAACCGAGTTGAATTACTGCCATTCCTTCATGTCTGGAATCCCTTCTCTTCCCCTGCTGGACTAATTATCTCATCTTGCTTTGATTGGACTTATAGTTTTTGTTGATTACAATTTGGACTTGATTCTCTGCAGCCCAAGGCTGTTCCTGGGAGAGTTTTTCTCCAGCCAGAAGGTAACCAGGACATTGGGGGCAAAGTTGGAGCTAATAAAGGGACTCCAACTGATTATCTGACAGGGTTGCCTTTGTGCCACGGCCCTTTGGGTCATCACAGGAGCTGTGATGGGTTAGAGGGGAATGAAAACTGACTCGAGCAGTTTTCAAGGTTTAATCTGCTGTCTCTTCTTTTCTTCCAGGTAAAATGTGAGTCTAGATTGCCTTTGTCCAAAACCAAAAATAATAACAGCAACTGTAAAAAGGGCTCAAATGAGGATAAATCCAAGATTTCTGTTGGTGAGCAATGCAGAGCAGGTGAACAGGCCTTCCTGGTGGCCCTTTATAAATACATGAAAGAAAGAAAAACACCCATTGAACGAATCCCCTACCTGGGTTTTAAGCAGAGTGAGTAGTATTTTCATTGCATTTTTTGTGTGACATTTAATGTGCTTGACTTGGTAAGAAGGGACAATTTTAAAGGTGAAGGGACCCTAATTTTAATTATTTTAATTTTATATTCTATTTTATTGTCCAAGTCATGTTGATATCCCGAGAGGTATTTAGGCATACCAAAGGTCTGCAGGGCTTTTGGTTTTTCCCAATTACTTTGAGCAACCAATTTGGGAAATGCCATGAAAAAAGCCACTCCCTGACCTTCTGCAGGCAATCTGTGTCCAGTTTATACTAAGGGGGCGTCCTGGGACTCGTAGGAATCCAGTTGTTGGCCCTGGATTGGTTCCTAGATTGATTCCTTTTTCATCCCCTATTCCATCAGGCCCTCCAGATCAA